GATTGATTTGAATTGAATTCATACATAATATTTAAGATATTATCTTAAAAATAATTATTAAATAAAAATTAATGGCTAATATATACGAAATAAATGAATACATATTTAGTGGTAATAATAATAGAGTGCAGAGATTGTAGAAATCATGCAATAATCGGTTGCAATATAGGGTTCGACAACTCGAGCAGGTCTTTAGCCGACGGGTGTTTAGTCTGTAATCTATAGGCAATAACGACGGCTTCAGTGCATATCAAACGAGCGCTTATCTTGTTGTCCAATAAGAAGTCGTATAATCCGGACAAAAATACGTTCATTTGCTGTCAAAATAAAATAAACATTCAATTAATACATGATATCTAAATGAGAGCGAGAGATGACATACAGTACTACTCTTAGTGTCGATCTTTTTGGTGGCCGTGAAAATGATTTCATCCCAGAATTGGTCGTCAATAAAACGCAAACTTTTTAATTTGTCAATCAATGCATTAAAATGATTGAATTTGTTTCCATTCAAGTCATTACTGGCAGCCATTCCTTTGGCGATTTCGACCAACAGTGAGATCACATTCTCTTGAATCCAGTGTTCATTCTTGAGATTTTTGGTAAAAATATCGAAAGCCTCGACCCATTGCTTATTGTCTTTCCTCTCACGAGTTCTCTCAATAATAGTGTCGATGTTTTGCGGATCCTTTTTCGGGATTTTAAAAGTGGTGTTTGTATTGCCGTTAAGTGACAATCCATTGCTGTGACCGTTGGAACCGTTTCTATGACTTCCCTATATGAATATCGAGCCAAAGACTGAAAGTTAGAATAACAGGTTTGAAAATTCAAAACAGGTAAACAAGAGTAAAAACCGTGGTAAACTCACTAATGAAAGCCATGCTCAAAATGAAAATAGTATAGTTATCTCAGTCTTCATATACTTAGGAGTGTCTTCTTCGAAGTCCAACTCTTCGTTCTCTTCATTGATGGCATACAAGTCAATCATATCGTCATATTTTCTCTTCGTATTCACCTTTGTTTCGGCCGAAGACTCGGTGTCATTGGATTCACTCAATATCTGTCGCAACAATTTGTTCACTTTATGGTCGATATAATCGTCACAACCTTTTGAGTCGATATAAAGCGAGTATTTGTCCAGTTTTGGGAACCGATTCATGTGAACCACAGGAAACCGTTGACAACGAGTCGTGTTTTCTTTGATTAGATGTTTATATGTCTTCAGTTTCTTCTTCTGGTCGTTCACCACATCCTCCGATGTCTCGTAAACTATTGTCTTATCCATCGCTTCTATAGTATCACTAAAAATGTCACAAATAATTGATTTATAAATAATTAATAGAAAAATAAATGTTTAAAAATTTGAATTTCAATTCAAAGTCCTATTGAATAGACTTTTGTTTTGTAAAACACATTGACTTTCACTTCAGTTTTGGCTCACATTTACGTTACAAACAATTGACATGTTTTTGAGTTCACAAACATTTCCCATACGTTTATATTCACCGCTTGTTTAGAGTTCAATGAAAGGGGTATTCAATTCCAGTTATATTTCTTCATATTCTATCGGTTTCGCTGTAAAGCACTAAACAGTGTTTCAATACAATTGTATACAACTTCACTGTTACGCAGAAAAGCAAACTCATATAATTAAGGGGCAAACATGAGGGGCGAGACATATATGACAAATAAGTGTAATATTTGGCTTAGAATTGAGGCGTGAATTGTGTGATTATAGCGGACGTGATTTGTGGTTTGGTTTGAACGCAATTACAGTCTCTATAAGTGTTATGACGTGTAATAAAATTGAGTGATTTTTTCATAAAACGTTTCGTGAAATATAAGTGGATTTAAAGACGAAACTCATATTGAGTTCATTTGGTTGGCAATCATAACACCGATTCTTCTTCTGGTCGTTCACCACATCCTCCGATGTCTCGTAAACTATTGTCTTATCCATCGCTTCTATAGTATCACTAAAAATGTCACAAATAATTGATTTATAAATAATTAATAGAAAAATAAATGATTAAAATTTGAATTTCAATTCAAAGTCCTATTGAATAGACTTTTGTGTTGTAAAACACATTGACTTTCACTTCAGTTTTGGCTCACATTTACGTTACAAACAATTGACATGTTTTTGAGTTCACAAACATTTCCATACGTTTATATTCACCGCTCGTTTAGAGTTCAATGAAAGGGGTATTCAATTCCACTTCTATTTCTTCATATTCTATCGGTTTCGCTGTAAAGCACTAAACAGTGTATCAATACAAATGTATACAACTTCACTGTTACGCAGAAAAGCAAACTCATATAATTAAGGGGCAAACATGAGGGGCGAGACATATATGACAAATAACTGTAATATTTGGCTTAGAATTGAGGCATGAATTGTGTGATTATAGCGGACGTGATTTGTGGTGCCGTTTGAACGCAATTGCAGTCTCTATAAGTGTTATGACGTGTAATAAAATTGAGTGATTTTTTCATAAAACGTTTCGTGAAATATAAGTGGATTTAAAGACGAAACTCATATTGAGTTCATTTGGTTGGCAATCATAACACCGACAGTCTCTATAAGTGTTATGACGTGTAATAAAATTGAGTGATTTTTTCATAAAACGTTTCGTGAAATATAAGTGGATTTAAAGACGAAACTCATATTGAGTTCATTTGGTTGGCAATCATAACACCGATCACTACACGTGGCATATATTGCTATACAATAACACTACTCAATACGATCACCAGAAGAGTGACACTCTTGTAGTTGTGTTTGAAATAGAGGTGTAAATCAATTGATAGGAAACAATGGTTAGATCCCAGAAGATGAGAGTCGCCAACGAGAAGGCCTCGAAGAATGTGCAGAATCGGGGAAATGTACCCAAAACTACGGTATGTTGTGATTGAGATGACTGATTGTGGTAATATTGATGATATAGTGGTAATGATGCTAATATGGTTGTATTGTATTGCAGAAAGCGGCCGATGAGAAGTACCCAGTTGGTCCGTGGATGTTGGCACTGTTCGTGTTCGTGGTGTGCGGTTCGGCTATATTTCAAATAATCCAAAGCATCCGATTTGGCTAAACAAATGGTCTTCTGATATACAATACAACCAAAAACAATACAAAACACTATATATTTTAAAAACTAAATTTTGTCTTCAATTAAATTTTCAATTGTTTTTAATATAAGAAAAACTGCTATTTATTTGTTTTGTAATTGAATGCAAATACAATACAACCAAAAACAATACAAAACACTATATATTTTAAAAACTAAATTTTGTCTTCAATTAAATTTTCAATTGTTTTTAATATAAGAAAAACTGCTATTTATTTGTTTTGTAATTGAATGCAAAAAGACGTGACATTCCTTTTAAAAACATATTTCTTTTACCCGTAAAAGCAATTAAATGTAAAATATTTTTTATCGAATTTTAATTAATGTGTTTATTATAACGGATATTACAACTTATTTATAGATATATTAATGGTATTGATTTGAGACGAAAACTATATCGAAATGGAGTGTTGTTTTTTAAATACAAATATTTTGATGAAAAATATGAAATCCATAAAAAGTACATAAATTAATGGAGAGTTTAGAGAATGAGCTCATATGTGACCTATAATTAAATGATAGTTTCATTCATTCATTTCTGATCCGTCGTGTTCTGACTCCACGTCCTGATGGTCTCCATCGGCCTCTCCTTCGCCTAAAACGACAACACATTGCATGCATTAATAGTGCGTCAAATGGCAACTCAAACATATGTCACATACCCTCGTCCTCACGGCCTCTCTTCTTGGCCTTGTATTGTCTTCCGGGCGCTCTATTCACGGGTAAATCAAACTCGTTGTGCTGTATAAGACTGGCCCTATAGCTCATCAATGGCTGCCACTAATACAATACAACCAAAAACAATACAAAACACTATATATTTTAAAAACTAAATTTTGTCTTCAATTAAATTTTCAATTGTTTTTAATATAAGAAAAACTGCTATTTATTTGTTTTGTAATTGAATGCATAAAGACGTGACATTCCTTTTAAAAACATATTTCTTTTACCCGTAAAAGCAATTAAATGTAAAATATTTTTTATCGAATTTTAATTAATGTGTTTATTATAACGGATATTACATCTTATTTATAGATATATTAATGGTATTGATTTGAGACTAAAACTATATCGAAATGGAGTGTTGTTTTTAAATACAAATATTTTGATGAAAAATATGAAATCCATAAAAAGTACATAAATTAATGGAGAGTTTAGAGAATGAGTTCATATGTGACCTATAATTAAATGATAGTTTCATTCATTCATTTCTGATCCGTCGTGTTCTGACTCCACGTCCTGATGGTCTCCATCGGCCTCTCCTTCGCCTAAAACAACAACACATATCGCATGCATTAATAGTGCGTCAAATGGCAACTCAAACATATGGGTGTATGGGAGCAGGAGTGCCGGAGAGAAGAACCGGAACATAACAGAAGGCCCGCGAGATAAGTGCCCATTTAGTTTGAGCAACACGACATATTCTGACCGGGATATCGAGTAGTTACCGACGGTGACGTCATTATGAATGCCCGGCAATGCGTTCTTCACATATCTATCCAAATATGTGAGCCTATAATCGCGTCAAATGATAAGCCATTAATAGTTGTATCAATGAATTAAGGCATGCATTCATGTCATACACAGTCTTTTTGTCGGGTTTTATTAATTTATTAGAGAATTCACTAATGATTTCGAGAAACGGTAGGTTAGGCGGCGGTCCCAACGGGTTCTCCGGGTTTTCTATCGTATTGAATGTGAAGTGAATGCCTTCCCTATGAATGGCTGCGACGGCGTCCCTATTCTTCATATTATCCAAACCGAACGAAAGGGCAAAACGTTTGGCCAACTCTTTGAGAGCTTGAAAATTCTCGTCCTGTTTAGTGAATGCGTTTGCATTCATCGCCGCTTCAGATCTCAGTTCCATAAAGACATTGACCAGCGCTGAGGCCATAGTCTTCGCGCAAATTACTTTATTTATTTCGCGCGCTTTGGCTAACGTTGTCTTAATTATATCTCCGTATTGGCCGTAAAACTAGTCATACAATCAGTCAAATAATTAGTTATTTTCAACAACATTTCAAACCAATTAAGTGTCTCACTTTGACGTAATGCTTGATAACACAGGCCGCGTGACGGCCAGGGATTATGTTATATACAATTAATTTGCTGAACGCCGACAAGAAGTGGCGCTTTTTGTGAAGCGATTCCAAACCGCTGTTTGTTTTGTTTGGGTCTTCGCTTTCGTCTAAAATAAGATAATTGATTAAAACGAGTGTTTTATTTAATAAAAACCGAATCCAAACACAAACCTTCCTCTTCTTCGATGAATACTTTTTGTTGAATAAATGTCTCGAGTTTTCGGATGAGATTAACGTCGGGTTTGTAGATAAGGTTCGCGACAACCGGTGAGTCGTTATCCAATTGATTGCAAAATATGATGAGAAGATCACAAATGGTATTGAATGCCTGTGCAATAACATGAGTACAAATCATTGGTTTAGAAATCACACCACAAACATGTCATACTATACCTCTTCCTCGAGTTCATCGCTTTGATGGTTAAGCAAAGAACGCATTTCTGTCATAAAGTCAAAGAGTCTGGTCTTAACGGTCTGGATGTGGTCCGACTGCGAGCGCGACTGTGAGAGTAAACACAACTCCCAAACGAGTCCCATATGACAGGCATTGACCGCATACTTGACTGCATTATATGGCACTTCTTCTGGATCTGAATTCGCTGTTTTGATCCAACGCTCAAACATATCGTCCCAAAGACCGGAAGAAGTCAAGTCATGGCAGGAATAAAAGATGGAAATCTTCTTCAATTGCATAATAACCATCAGTTTCTCTTCATCTCCGTTAGGATTGAGTGCAAAATTGTCGACCGATTCCTTGTATTTGTTGCAAAGGGTGTCGATTGCAGTGCTTTTCGAGAGCCAAACATTTCTGGCGTAAGAAAAGTTTTCTTCGTTTAAGTACTCGTATGTCTTGACCGCCGATTCCAACACTTCTTTGTCGGAATGGATTTCAACCACTTGTGAGATGAGTCGTAAGAGAGTGTCCAACTGTTCCGTTTGGCTCGTGAAGTAACTCAACTCAAAGTATTGTGGAATTGTCAACAGATTCGCCATTTTCTCGGGATCTGTCTTATACTTGTCCATCAGCGCCGGCAAAGTCACCACAAAGTGTTCGGATATGTGGTTCTTGTCGTCCTGTACTTGTTTGGCCTCTTTGGAAGACAATTGTCGCTTTTGAGGTCCCCTTCCAATTGGTGTTTCAGCGGTTGCCGATTGTCTCACACAACACACCATTATCTCAATGAGTGACGCCTCCTGGCGGTCGTCCAGAGCCTCCTCTTCAGGCCCGGGCTCTTCGAGCAGAAGGTCAGTCATACACTCCCAGTCTTTCATCATAGGGTGGCTCTCAATGAGACTGTCGACGAGATACGCCCCGTGTTCGTGGAGCTCACTCTCGATGTAGAATTGGATCAGATCTCGGATCAGCGGCGAGTGTTGCGACCGCTTTTTGCCTCTTCTGCTCCTGAGGTTAGCGGTGGACTCTTCGTCCACTTGGAAGAGGCGTTCGTTGAGGAACTCTCCGGCCGCCTGAGCCACCGACCGATGCGTGGCGTAAACCAATTCGTAGACGTGTTCGCAGTCCTTATCGGTGAGGATATCTCTGTGGTGTTTGTGGACATTAATGATGAGTCGGACGGCCTGTACGGCCACTTCGAACTCGCGGTCCAAAGTCATGGCAACGATCCTATCCTTGAACTTATTGGTAAACAATTCCATTTTGCGAGTAATCTCTTCGCTCTCATAGAGCGGCAGAAGGGAGTGAAGACACTTGAGGCGGACGTCACCCACTTTGTCGTGAAGAGTCCACCCGACGTACTTCAGGTACGAGTCGTCCAAAAACATTCCCGGAAGTCGTTTCATCCAAATGCCAATCTCTGTCATACAAATGGACCGAATCTCAGGCAAAGTGTCCCGATATCTGTGCACGAAAATCGATTTGAACAGATATCCCAACATTGTTTTGATGTCATCGTTGTTCTCTTCCAGTTCTTGGCGTTTACTCATCAATAGATCCAACCGTTCCGACGGCCGCTTCGAGTTGGACGGCGTCTTCTGGCGCTCGGCCTCGTACTGGCGCTGAGTGTTGTCTAAGTTGATGCTCAGAGTTAGCGCCACATCCACTAAAGCCGTCATCAACTTCATGGCCGCCAAAGTGGCCGTATGTCTGAAGGCCCGCACTTGAGAGTCGGACAGTCCGATCAGCAGTGATATAATGCTTTCCATTAAGAACTGGTCGTAAATGATTGAGTACTGACACTGACGGACCAAAGTGTGGATGAATTCGCAGAAATTACTCTTAAACTTCTTCCACTGCGGGCCAGTCATCACCAGCGGATAGTCGGCGCCCTCTTCGTCGAACTCCTCGACCAGCGCTCGTATGATCTGTCCGTTGTCTAGCGTTTCCCGCATTTGTGGCGTAATCTTTCCCTTACAGCCGGAACTCCTGATGAAGAACTGCATTAACTCGAGAATAGCCGCCTCTCTGTCCTGACGATAGGACTCAATCCACTCGTCGACCACCGACTGGAGCACAGATCTGCCGCCTCTCACGCTCTCAAACAGACTATTACTGTCTTCGACGGTCCGATTCAGTGTCGTGTCCGCCACTGACAACCGATTCAGCGAAGGCCGACCGGCTCTACCTCTGCCGCGACCGCCGCCTCTGCCGCGTCCTCTGCCCCGCCGTTTGGTCATCGAGTCGTCTTCGGTGGCCAAAGACGTGTCGTTCGAGTCCTCCGTTCCCTGACTCGTGTCCATCGTCGGCATGTAGTCGTCGTCACGCGTGGCAAACGTCGGGTCAGCCGATGAATAGGCGGACGCGTCGTCCGTCGGGTATATGTACCCTAAGTTACGTAAGCACAGCATGACTTCTTGGCCAACGAGGACTCCAAGCTCGCCGCCAACCTAACGAAATGCAGAAGGCGCGCCGTATAGAAAACCACTGTTAAGTTGCGTAGCAATGAGACATTGCAATGCATCCCAACATCACTTACCTGTGGATCAGATATGGATGAGATGTGAATCAAATGAATGCAAAGACTAACCAATGGATGAATGAATGTTTGAATTGAGAATCGATTCAAAAGTCAAAACACATTCAAAATGACAGTCAATGAGAGTTTGCGCACAAACTCTGCACTCAATCCGCGCCTAAACTAATAGCCGTATTCAAAGACGTAAAATAGAGCACCAACTCATGCTCTATGTCTAGAAAAATTTCAATTCTCATTCATAGACAACAACTTCAAGAGTTGGAACTCCTAATAATAGAGTCTCATAATTATCAGACTCTACCCTGAACAGTTGACTTACTAGTATAACATTAAGATAAAGTACAGTCAATAGTAACACAACCTGTCAAACAGGGTTCAGGACTCAAGCACTGATGTCATAGTTTATAAACTTAAGCCAATAGCAAACGCGTTTACAATGTGCGCAACAATAGAGATCCAACTTTTAGCATTTCATTTATGAATACAAAATAAAGTCTGAGTTCCAACTCTTGAAGTTGTTGTCTATGAATGAGAATTGAAATTTTTCTAGACATAGAGCATGAGTTGGTGAAGAGAGAGAGAGAGAGAGAGAGAGAGAGAGAGAGATTGTTGACATTGTTGTGAAAAGTTTGTAACAAAAGTTGTTTGAAAGCAGTGAATGAATGAGTGATAGAATGGCTTATGATTTGGAAAAATGCAAACATTTAGTGATTTGTTTGCAAATCAATCAAAGATTGTTTCACGAAATCATTACTCAATTAAATGATCAAAACATACGAAAACAGTTTGAGTTAATCATTGGTGACAATCAACGAGTGATTAACCAATTGAACGACGAGTTGAGGCAAACGGTTCCCACCGATGACCACAACCAGCACTTGATTCATAACCACAACACAGATGTCACGCAACAAGTGTTGGATCCGAAAGAGAGGCCATCGATGGCGACGACGGGAAGGACACGAAGGGAGAGAAGCGAACAGAAGAAGACGTGTCAGTGGCCGGGATGTGGTTATGAAACCCGTTTCTCGGCTAACATGAGTCGACACGTGTCCGTGCATTCGGGTGCGAAGCCGTACGCCTGTGATTGGCCGCAGTGTCACAAACGATACCAATTGTCCGGCTCTTTGACCGCTCATAAGAGGACACACTTGAATCTAAAACCGTTTGCGTGCGATTGGATTGGATGTGATTATCGGACTAACAATCGGTGTTCACTTCCGGCTCACCGGCGGACACATAACGGCATCAAAGCGTTTGCCTGCGATTGGCCGCAGTGTTCGGTCACGTGTTCGACGAGAACTCATTTACGCGATCACCGGTTGATTCACACGAAAGACAAACCATTCAAATGCGATGTCTGTGAACAGAGTTTCGCCAAGAAGTCCAATATGAGGGCTCATAAACTCAGTGTCCATTTGGGACACAAACGCATCCGACATAAGAATACCACTCACGAAGAACTCAATTAAATTTTCAAATATATTACTATATATTTTAAAGTTTATTGCAATAAATTATTTTCATAAATATTTAGAGTATTTAACAAATTTTAGAAAAATATAAGAATTTCATTAATTTTAAGTAAAATATCTAAAAGTTAAGAGTTTTGTTGATAACGTCTTAATCGGAGTTGTCTTAACCTTTCGGCGTCGGAAGGATTTTGAGGATAATTATAGCTGTTTTCTGTGGGATATGGCGGAGCAGTTGGCTGTGCTGTTGGCCTAGAATTTCGGTTATCGTTCAGACTTTGCTCGTAAGCTCTTCTAAGCTGTTCTTCTTCTGACATATCGTTCGGAACATATGATTCATAATGCGGTCGATTCGGTCGGTGACCAGATCTACCACTTCTATCATCATATCTCCGGTAATTGCGATAATTATTACTCGAATGTGGTATAAATCCACCGAACAATGGATTCACTATACCTTCGGAATCAATGAATCAAAAGTACTATAAAGTGATTACAAAATACAATCAAATGAATGCAATTATAAATACCGGCTATGATTTCAATTGGATAAGAAAGTGGTCCATAAATATACGCCAAACCGACTAAAATGCCGGACAAATGACCGACAAATGAGGCGTTTGGAGATATGAGTTGAATGATAACGAGTTCACCCCAAACGGCATATTTGGATCCGATTGGTATATATCCCATCAAATAAGAGATACGGCTTTCATCGAAATGAGTGGTCAATACTTTGAGAGCAAAAATAACTCCTGTTTTTTGGGAACAAATATAAGTTACAATTGGATCCACTTTTATAAGAGATGTGATCAACAAATTACCGGAGAAACCGACCGAACAGTGATTTAAATACGAATAGTCTTCAGTTGTCTCTGCAATCAATTTATTGACCAAAACATACGTAAAGGCCGTAGAGATTGTGAACACAATTAAAGTGATGGCAAATCTAATTGATCCGAGTCTTCGCTCCAGCGATCGGCCCTTCCATAAGAATGAGACCATATTATAGTACAGATGCCAATCGTCTCCGTGTGTTAACTGAGACAATATCACTCGTGAGTACTCTTTGTGGTCCACTATTGACCTATAGCTGAGACAAACGTCCCAAACATTGCCGAACGGAAGCTATCGATTGACACAACAATTTCAACGCTAATTAATGTAGAGTTGAATGATAACGAGTTCACCCCAAACGGCATATTTGGATCCGATTGGTATATATCCCATCAAATAAGAGATACGGCTTTCATCGAAATGAGTGGTCAATACTTTGAGAGCAAAAATAACTCCTTTTTTGGGGAACAAATATAGGTTACAATTGGATCCACTTTTCTAAGAGATGTGATCAACAAATTACCGGAGAAACCGACCGAACAGTGATTTAAATACGAATAGTCTTCAGTTGTCTCTGCAATCAATTTATTCACCAAAACATACGTAAAGGCCGTAGAGATTGTGAACACGATTAAAGTGATGGCAAATCTAATTGATCCGAGTCTTCGCTCCAGCGATCGGCCCTTCCATAAGAATGAGACCATATTATAGTACAGATGCCAATCGTCTCCGTGTGTCAACTGAGACAATATCACTCGTGAGTACTCTTTGTGGTCCACTATTGACCTATAGCTGAGACAAACGTCCCAAACATTGCCGAACGGAAGCTATCGATTGACACAACAATTTCAACGTTAATTAATGTAAACTGAGACAATATCACTCGTGAGTACTCTTTGTGGTCCACTATTGACCTATAGCTGAGACAAACGTCCCAAACATTGCCGAACGGAAGCTATCGATTGACACAACAATTTCAACGCTAATTAATGTGTGGTTTAATCAATCAATCAATGGATTGGTTACCGGAATAATGTGGAGGAATATAAGTATCTGCGATATAATAGTGACCAGAGTTACGGTGGGAACGCCGTTATCGGCCACCGCTCTCATCAATTCGTTGGCCAATAATAAGATGGCAAACGACGGCACCCGAGACTGACCTCTGTTTCGGTTCATTTCGGTCTAAAGCGAAAGTAATTGTCTCTCAATTCACACGTGTTTTCAATACATCCATAAATAATCTCCGCTTTAAATGAGTTGTCATTAAAACCAAAACTTTTTACATTCAATTCAATACAAAAGTGTACTAAACATTGCGTCAACTGTTTTACGCGATTCACTCCAAACGTAATGCATTGTCATTACAGTCAACACCCGTTATAATGAACTCATGTTCTAACTGTGTATTCAATTGAATAAATCCACTCATTTTACTCATCCTATGAGTAATTCATACTATTATATACTGTACTGTAGATTAAACTCTAGATATGTATGGTTTGTATGCAATACTGACCACACGATCGTTACCTAAAGTGAACGCAAACTAATGGTTAGTAAACGTCAGCATAAGAGACACGACTGGAAGTGCACTAAACAATAGGCGCCTATAAGTGATGTAATGTTGACCTAAAGTGCAATCGTATTGACCAATAATATGAATGCATTCAATAATAATGACATCTAATGGCAAACCAACGGCTGTTGTAATGAGTGTCCAAATGAGGGCCACATCTGGGGCTCAAACACTGGACTCAACTCTTGACTCATAAGTCGAGCAGAAGTTTTATACTCGTATTCAAAGACAAAATTGAGTTTGAGTTTGAGTTGGAACTCTTAAAAACTGGTTTAGAGATTGAGTTGGAACTCAGACTTTATTTTGTATTCATAAATGAAATGCTAAAAGTTGGATCTCTATTGTTGCGCACATTGTAAACGCATTTGCTATTGGCTTAAGTTTATAAACTATGACATCAGTGCGTGAGTCCTGAACCCTGTTTGACAGGTTGTGGTACTATTGACTGTACTTTATCCTAATGTTATACTAGTAAGTCAACTTTTCAGGGTAGAGTCTAATAAATATGAGACTCTATTATTAGGAGTTCCAACTCTTGGAGTTGTTGTCTATGAATGAGAATTGAAACTTTTCTACACATAAAGCATGAGTTGGTGCTCTATTTTACGTCTTTGAATACGGCTAATAGTATTTCAATTTGGGACTCACATCCATGACTGTCCACTCTCTGTACATTTTCACGCCATTGTATCTGCCATTAGTTGAAATTAAATCACAAATGGATTCGCAATTAATGATAGATATGATGGAAATTGTGATAAAACTTATAAACATTGTATTATTGATAATTATTTGGTATTTAAAATGTTAAATAACTTTTTGGTACTTTTGGATAAATCTAGAGTAGCTTTTTAAACTCAATGTTTTAACGGTTATATTGTATGTAATTCTCGTTTAATTAAACAATACATTTATTAATCACTAATTTAAAAATAGTGTTAACGTGTTAAGGAAATAAGTGTTGATAAAAATATACTTTTAACTTAAATAACTTTTATATAAATAAAAATAAATGCTATAAAAACAACATTTGTCATTGAATGCATGAGATAACATGATGTAATTTTCACTACCATTGTATAATATATTAATTTAAATAATAATTTACTCAATTTAATGTTTTATTGGAATTAAATATGAAAAGTTTTTTTTGAAAAAAATATCATGTATAAGAAAATTTTGAAATAAACAAAACGTGGATATAATCTAGGACTTTTTAGATTTAGACACTGATCTCTGTGTCAATTTTGTGTCTTTAATAATGGCCGACAATTCGCTGGAAACATTTAAATCATGTTCAGTCGTGTCCTCCTTCTCTCCCAGTCCTTCACTCCGACCCCTCCTCTGGTATAATACGGCCATAACTGACGCGAAGAGAATGAATGCCAATAATAACAGAATTGCAAAAGCGATCCACAATTCTGTCACAGAATCGGTTGCATTCATACAAACATATTGTATTAAATTTGATGAATTGCACTAAAAATATGTATAAATAAATATATTCAATATTTAGATTACTATTTGTATTACATTTTAAATTAACCATAAATTATAAAAACAGTACCTCTGCAGACAGGGATTGGTTTTCGGGTGTGAAACAATACCGGGGCTGACCTGCGATGTTAAACCATAGCATATGGCCGGTCTGTCCGCCACCCATATTGTAGTCAACCACACCCTCCAGTTGTGGGAGTAATTCATCGGGTATTTGACCAACAAATTGAGGTGCAGTGCACTTATCCCTATCCGTACACGTATTTTCTTTTTCATTCTCCAAACCATTAGGTATATCATAGCACCGATCGGCTCCTCCCGCAAAAATAGGGTTCAATACTCGCACCGACCGGTTGTTGGCATTTAACCCTTAATGCGCACCGTTAAAAAATCACGTTACGTGCATTGTGGCCCATTTATGTCTAACAGCGTATCGTGCATCGTGGCCCATTTATTTTTAACAGCATATCGTGCATAGTGGCCCATTTTTGGTATCGACTCATAAACAACAAACTACGTCCAATAACTTGCATTACTTGCACTTCACATAAGTGTTGGATTAATTATGGATTAATTTAGTAATGCTTGGGGTGCTTGTGCATATGTGATGATTACTTACAATGATTACACATATATTGTATTATAAACACAATTCATATCAATTGACAGAATTGACCGGAAATATATAAACTTTGGGAAATAAGCCATAGGTTTGCATTACGTGGAAAGCTAGTATACATTGTCCGTAAAGTTGGTAAAAATAATTATTTTGAATAAAAAAAATAACATTTTAATTCTGAAATAATGAATTTATTGAGTCATTTAAAAAAGAACATTATATAATGAAATCAATAATTAATACAAATCAAATTACCATTAAAATGTTTAAATTTTACTCATTTTCACGATAATCCTTACCAGCACAAGTAGTGCAATACATGACCATGTGATTGTCTCGACAGATATATTGATCACAATCAACACATTGAAGTGAACATTTTTTATTAGTTTTTCGAGAACACAAATAACATCTTTTTCGAACTTCTGGATCAGTTGTTTTAGGGCGTTTGGGCTGAAATCCTAATGGCGCCTGAGAAGTAGACGCCTGAGACCCGCTCGCTTGTGTTGGTTGTGCTGACCCATATGGTCTTGTGATATTTGTGATTATCTTACGTAAATCTCTGCTTATAGTCTTGACTTCTAATCGGGAAACCATTTCAGGGACAGCCAAACTCTCTCCCAAAGTATGCAAAAATTCCCGTCGATTATACGATTCAATTCGTTTTGGAGTACAATTTATATTGTGGTGTTTGAAGATGATATGACTATTAGTAGCCATTATATCGAGAATTGCAAAGAATGCCGCTGTTGGCCAACGTTTTGTACGCCTTCCTGATGAATACGTAGAGCAGAATTGGTCCATTGTATCGACGCCTCCTTTTGTTTTATTATAATCTTCAATAATCTGAGGCTTTTGTGTCAATTGATTAATTGCATTATCGCTATGCATAGTACTCAATAAAAATACAGTTTTGTTTTTCTTCGTATAAAAAGCCAATAATGAGATATTGTCTTTGCGGACAAATTCTGTGTGCAATAACTGTGAATTCATATAGTAAATAAAATATTAGTTTGAGTTATAATAGATTTGTATAATAAATTATAAATAATTACCGGGCGTTTCTTTTTGGCGATTAATTCCTTTGGTATTTCTCTCTTATTCTTCTTGAGAGTTCCAATAATTGTCAAATTGTTGACTAATAGTTGTTTAGCTAATGGAAAGCTTGTGAACCAATTGTCACACGTTATGTTTCTTCCCGTGCCTTTCAAAGGCTTAGTCAAATCAAGAACAATATTTGAACCGAGATTTGTAGCTCTTATGCCGCCAATCTTTCCGGTATAAAATATTGAGTCCCAACAATAGGCGGTGTTTGCATCACACATCATAAAAAATTTTAGCCCATATTTAGCCGGTTTATTCGGCATGTATTGCTTGAAAGGGCATCGACCTCTAAAAGCTCTCAGCATTTCATCGATTGTCACAAATTCTGATAATTCATAATTGCTTTTACAGTTTTTGCGAAATATACCGAAAATTTCACTAAATAACGCGAGTTTATCACCGGCGGCTTTTCGGGTATCTCTCGAATTTTGATGATCAAAACACACATTTTCAGTCAGAAACTGGAAGCGTCTCAATGGCATTACTGCTCTAAAAATGTCACGACCTCTGCCATTAGTGTCCCATAAATCTCTGGCGTTTTCGTGTGCAGATTTGTGTACTCCTATCAATAGTGATAATCCAATCCACGCCAACATTTCCCTATCGTTTGTCTTGTGTTCGTATGATTGTAAAACTTTTGTTTTAGCACTGATTTTGATGTTAATCTTGTTATTAGTATAATTTACAATTAATTTTAACATATCATCAGTTAAAAAATGTCTAAATGTCGATAAAACATTTGAACAATCAGATGAATTGACTTTTGGTCCACTTTTAAAACGAATGATATTGTGTTGTAATGTTTTAGTAACTGATGTGGTCACTGATTGTGTTGATGATGGTTGAGATAATGTCTGACCAATGTTTGTATTATCATCATCTGAATCACTTGCAGAGTAATAGACTGGCTCTGAGTCTGAGTCCAATTCAATCTCTGACACGCTATCGTGATCACTATTTTCAGTGTTATTAGAGTTAATATCGCTGTCATTATCTTCAAATGTATGATTGTTGCCATCATTTAGTAGCCAATCGAGATCGTTGTTTGCCGACATTTTGGCAGTTAATGGCGGTCAATAGGACAATAACATATGACTACAGGTATAGTGACACTCAATAGTACACTAACAGACGGCCACAGCTATAGCGCCAATCAATAGTACACTAACACATGACCACAGGTATAGTGACACTCAATACTACACTAACAGACGGCCACAGTAATTGCAACAATTAATAGTACACTAACACACGGATACAGCTATAACTGCACTAAATAGTACACTAACACACGGCCACAGCTATAGCAGCAGTAAATAGTACACTAACAGACTGCCACAGCTATAGCGCCAATCAATAGGACTAAACACACGTTTACAGCTAAAGCAGCACTCAATAAGACATAAAGTACGGTCACAGCTAAAGCGACACTCAATAGTACATTGACAAACAGCTAAACCGCTCAAATACGCTATTTGCACAAAATATCACATTGCATACAAAATAGGGCCACGATGCACACAACGTACAGTGTACGCATTAAGCCTGCGCGAAATACATGTACAATGGTTAGTGCTATTTATGCTATAAAACTAAACTCACGTATCGTGCACGATGGCCCAAT